CCCCCCCTCCCTCTTATCTTACCGAACGAAGGGAACCGCGAAGCCAGAATTTTCTATCCCTGTAATATACCTACCCCTGTTCTCGCTCCTCTACTACTACCCCCTTGTGAACATTTTTTTTCATCTTCTCCTTTATACACCTACCAAACTCTTCGTATAAATCGGCCTCGAAAACTCTCTTCGGTATTATAACTATACTGGAGTATCACATTACCTAGTCTTGTATAGGGGTGAGATTGAGGGTGTCCTTGTGGAAAGACGGAGAATGGGCCTTGTCAAGGGTGTAACACGGTATGCGTCAAGTGTCGTCGTGCTGGATGCGCACGTGCGCTTATATACCTATATACATTCGTGTATATTTGGATAGGCCTATGTTAAACTGTTACAAATAGAGAGCTGAGTGGGAATTTATTTTTTTAAGGGTTTGTTTTCGTTAAACGAGAAATATGCCTGTCACTACGACGATGAATAGGCTCTGTATGGGTACTTCACAATGATGTGATATATGAAATTTTATGAAAAATTTTTTTTTCAAAATTTCAAAATTTTCAAAATCGGGCTTGTTAAATTTCGTGTAGAATGGTATATATCCGTATTTCTAAAAAAAAACGTTTTCGTAAGCCGTGCGTTAACGTGAAACTCACGAGTGCCGTACAGCAAGGGTGGCGGCGGGGGGGGGAGAAGAAAGTGGCCATTCGAGTGAAACAGAAGGCCGTAAAGTCAGAGGGAATAAAAAGAAAATGTGAGAAGAGATTAGTAGCGCTTACAAAATCGCGCGGATGTATACGCTGCGTGAGCGAATGTCCGGAATTTGTGAGAGGGTGGCCGACTGTAGCAGAGAGCAGCAGACCCCCCCTGTAAAATCCCTAGGGAAGAAGCCAGGGAGGACACGGGACTCCGGTATGTTTATTTAACTCGAAGTAATTTGATCAAAAATTTAATCAAGTCGGATTTTTGAGCGTCGCGACGATCCGGGACGAATCGGTTACACGCAGAGGGGGTGGCAATAAAATTCAAAAGAATTTTTCTTCACTTATTTAACCTTTCGAAACATCATCCCCTATTTTTCTTAACGCATCCCCAAACGATGCGTCACTCGTCCTCGGACACGTGACCACCCTTAAAATAAGGATTACACCCTTTTTTGATATTTCGCTCAATTTAAAATTTCAACCCTTATACTAAATTGTAATTTTTTTTCAGCCACCATCCTCTAACAATACCAAAAATGAAAAAAGTATTCAAACCGGAAGTCCATGGCTCGGAGAACGAGTCCAAGGATTTAACCCCGGGCAGTTGACCTCAAGACTCCCGCGGCCAAGGCTTTGGTAATTAATCTTAGAGATCCTTTAATTAATCGTAAAACTAATGGCCCCGTAGGATAAGGTCCTGCAGGATGGGGATCTCAGCCAGTCGCGAGCGTCTTTTACTGGGCCTTAAGGCGGCTGTCTGGCTGGTTTAGCTATATGTATTGTGTGACGTCACAAGCGAGGAAACGTATTTTCCGTTATTCTCCTTCATTTCTAAATGATTTAGCAAAATCTTTTATGAGCCCGCTTCGTTATGCGATACGGCTGGCGGCTTTTCTCAATTTATCACCAAAATTCACAGATATATAATTGCAATCTTCAATGAAAATCGCACGTTTTATTTTTAATTATCTCGAGCTTTAAAAATTGCACTTTTGAATGTAAATATCAGTGCTTAGCTACCAGTAATTATAACAAAGAAGATTTTTAGAGCGGAAATGAAAAATGATGGAATTCTCTTTACTATAAAAGCAACGTGATAAGAAAAGTAATGCAGTCGAAGTACTGAACGCGCACAATATAATAAAAAAAAAATTTTTCGAAAATTTTGTGAGGTGTCTGGCACCCTTTGCGAAGGAACCACCAAATATTACAGCCATGACGCCCCTGTCAGAGCTTCGTACTTTCGCCACCAGTCAACGCTCGAGTCAACACCGAAACTTTTTCCAGCCAGATAGCAGCCTTAAACTCCAGGACTGGTTGGGTGAGCGAAGGAGGGGCAAGACGCTGGATATACCAAGGGCAATATAACGGGTGGCATCATTTACCCCTCGCCTCTCTCCCCCAGTCCCCCCTAAGAACCATAATGAGGCTAATAGACACGTACAGCTCGTAAAAAGTATTCGTCGAGTTTTTAAAGTTAAGTGCCACACCCCCTCTGCCCCTCCATCGTCATAAGCCCGACGCTGCTGCCACCTACAACAATTTTGTTATACAGTCTTCATCCAGGTTTGTGTATGAGATATTGAATTTTTGAAAAAAAATTTAAAGATTCGAATTATTCTTTATGAAAAATTTATATTTTTATGCCCAGTGAACTTTGAACTTATTGGAAAAAATAAATGGATCTAAAGCAATGAACTTGATGGTTACTCCGTATCTGTGTTACAGGACGAATGGTCGAGACTTTACATCTCATTGAAAATGCACCCTTAAACGATGAAATACAAGTCATCCACTTCATCGTCTGATTCAATTCATCGCTGCGGTTATTTAATCAAACATCTCCCGTCTGGTGTTGTGTGTGAGAAGGGTGCGACCCTCCGACATCCCTTATACAGTAGGTAGGAGAATCTATAAACGCAAAGGCTCACCAGAATCCTCGGGAATGGCCATTTGGCCAACCCCTATAGAGAATCGCATAACGCACCCCCGTGATAACGCCAAGTGATCACGATACAACAACACTTACTTTTCCAGCCATTTGTCGGGTTTTGAGGGCCACCCTAAGGGATCTTCCGACACCGTAACAATATGCTGTGCCGCAGGGGTGGAAAATGGATTTGACAAATCGTTAATTGACGCAACAACCGACCGCGAGGGTAGTTCTGGAATTTTAAGATACGAACCGAAAATTGGTATTGTTTTTTTCTTTTTACTTGAAAAGTCACTAGAATTTCCCTAGTGCCAATATGTCACTAGAATTTCTCAGTATCCATGCGTATGACACCATTTTATTTTTGGTTCCAGTGTCTCTTTGAAGCGGACCCACTTTTTAAGGCACTGCCGACAGATCTACGGGCTGCCATTGACGCGAGGCGAAGACAGGTTAAAGCGTTATGGTTGTTCTTGGCGAAAGATTGGATTTATGCGTTTTTAAATGAGGCCAGAACGGACAGAGAAAAAAAGACCCATTAGGCATCACGATGAAAACCATAGTGAGAACACGATTCTATACTTGGGATTTATGGGGATTATTAGTATCCCATAGAGACAGAGGAATCTATGGGATTCAATTTATAGTTCTGTACTTAAATATATATATATATATATATAAACACAGGATAGATTATAGAAAAGAGATAAACGTGAGTGACGTCACGACCTGAAGATCTTGCAGATCCAATTGGATTGTTCGATTGGATTAATTCGAACAATTAATATAAATATAATCCTATAACCCCGTGCTTCATGGGTTTTCTAATCCTAGGTTGTTGTACCGTTATTAGTATATATTATACATTCTGTGTACCAGTACTACCACTGGTTTTACAACTACTAGTCTAACTCTAGTCTCATAGTATTCTAACTTTTTTCTAGGGACATTTGAAACGACTCAATTCGCCCTTTGTACCACTGCCGCTCTATGGAATTCCAGGTGCAGCTCATCGATCATCATTGGTTGCTGAGTAGCAGTTCTTTACGTATAATATAATGGCAGACACGATCGTCATCCAGTATTATACATAAAGAAGATATACAGGGTTAGTCAGTAGAAACGCACCAGCAGAAGTTGGCCGCAAGTGGCCGACACGGCAGTGTGGCCTCTTCAAAAAATGACATGTGACTGTGACCGATTCCCATAAGCGCAAACTGACAGTTCGCATAGCAATAAGGTTATTGAAATATCAATAGTTAGGTTACTGAGATAATTAATTAATATTGTAATGACAAAATGTAATATCAGTTAAGATTTACTTTCACAACAGATTTTTTTGCTCTATTTTTTTGCTATAAAAACATTTCAATTAATTGATTTTTAAATTAATTGCAGCATTGTATTGCAGAATTGCAGTTCTAATTATTACTTGGAAATATCAAAATTGTGAACATTTTAAGCTTTACATTGTTTTAATTGCAATCTGTTGTGAAAATAAATCTTAATTGATATTACATTTTGTCATTACAATATTAATTAATTATTTTAGTAACCTAATTATTGATATTTCAATAACCTTATTGCTATGCGAACTGTCAGTTTGCGCTTATGGGAATCGGTCACAGTCACATGTCATTTTTTGAAGAGGCCACACTGCCGTGTCGGCCACTTGCGGCCAACTTCTGCTGGTGCGTTTCTACTGACTAACCCTGTATATCTTCTTTATGTATAATACTGGATGACGATCGTGTCTGCCATTATATTATACGTAAAGAACTGCTACTCAGCAACCAATGATGATCGATGAGCTGCACCTGGAATTCCATAGAGCGGCAGTGGTACAAAGGGCGAATTGAGTGGACAAGTACACAGAATGAAATATCACAAGTGAGTTGGTCACATTGAAAATCCCTAAACGAAGTCAATAGCTTGGTAAAGTCGACTAGAGCTGGACAAAAATATCCCTAGAATATTTAAAAATCTATTCCAGCCCACGTGATTAGTCGCATCGAATTATCCGACCGAGTAAAAACTAAATTGTAGGGTGAACAATTTTTTTATGGGGGAAAAAAACTTGCGCAATATACGTATGAGGTGGTTTTAAAAAAAAGTCCCTATTTGATTACACGCTCATTTTAATCAGTACGTTTACATTAAATTACCACATAAAAGTTCTATATAGAGTGTCTTTCATTTTCCCATAGATATTCCACCTACCTGCATCCCTGTATATATAAATGGCGAACGGGTAACGGCATTGCGGAGCAGCAAAGTGTAAGTTATGGTTTATGGGTCCAGCATGAGATGATCTATCGCTATGGTTGTCGGGGCGCGATAATGCGGCATGGCCGCTGCGAAATGTAACCCCATTACCGTAGTGCCCGATGCCGGGACACGATCTCAAATACTACTCTAACCCCATGACATTAGCCAGCTTATCTCCGGAGAAGCAGTCGCTCGTTCTCTTATCATTAATCAGCGAAAAATCACTCGAGTCCCAAAACTTAAAAGTTTCAGGGACTCGTTACGCGACCCCTCCCCATAGAACCCCATGCTAAATTTCCCCCAATAAAAAAAAAATTCCCATGACTCAAAATGTAGGAAAAAAAATGTTTACATTAAAAAAAAAGAAGAAACAGCATTAAAATGGCCGCCACAAAATTTCCAAAAAAACCTAAGTACCATTGTTACCAACCTCATTTTACAGGACTACACATATATATACACACACTAGGTACAAGAATCAAGTAAAAACCCATAACAGCTCGTATTGCCCTTCGTAATCAAAGACTACGACTTGCTGCAGCCAGAGTTCTTGTTGCTGCACCAAAGTGTCGTCCATTTTCCCCCCGCACGACACCCGAACGCTTTTATTACCCGTAATCGGTACACAAGGCATTCGGCTGCGATAACGCGGTGTCTTTAAAGAAATACCAATCCGTTTCTTTTTACAGACTTTTATGTCTTTTACATTTTTTTCTTAACCCCACCTTCATTCCCCCACTTACCTTTTCGTACTCTCGACTGACCCAGGACGTTACACCCGATTGGTAGATACAAGTAGAGGTTTGTGATCAGCAATAAAAAAAAATAATTTGTATGCTTAAAAAATAATTCAAAAATAATTTCATTTATTTTCAATTATGAAAAATTATTTTTTTTTATCATTAAAAATCAATTCCTTCTCTCGCACTTCGCGTTAAGCAGTCTTTCGACTTTTCGCGTGTTCAAATATCTAATTAGGTATTTAGTAACAGACCCGGTATAATGGCAAGAGATGGGTGTAGTGAACGCGTCAGCGGAATGGGACCACCCAACTGGGCCCCGTGCCATGGCACGCATAGGATGGATGCAACGCGGAGAATCTCTCGGGATCTGTAAGGCCCAAAGAAGTGCTTCCATCTTTATAACTAAGTATTTATGTGTGTATACCTATGTAAGATATGCTCCCTAGTAAATACCGGTATACATTTTTCAAAGATTAACAATAATCTACTACTATAATTATTGCGTATTGCCCTTCTAACGATGCAGGTAGAAATCATTAATTCGATTAATGACAGTAAGGACCACGTGGCCTTCCCTTAACGTATATTCTGGTATACACCTACTGTCCATATAGTACCTCGTATCTTTGTGTATATATATATATACAAATATATAAAGGATATGCGAGTCCATCATGAATAAGACATTATTGTGCATGTAGTGACGTCACGGTCTACATGAATTCTGCGTGCTTTTACGACTTAACGACGGTCGGCCATGACGCCAAAGACGGACACTTTCGGGGCCTTAGGAACGCCTTGTGGATGCGCCGCGGATAATTAAACGTAAAATCGACGTTATAAATTTATATGGGGTGGCGATCAAACGCGGCGCGGGATCATTAAAGGGATTTAAGTGATTCGATGAATTTTTATAGCGACAGTATATGTGTGTATATAGATCTGTATACCGAGTGATTAATATGGTTCGTTTTAGTTGGTACAATTTTTTTTTATTTTTCATGGCCGGAAGCTGCTCGAAAAAATATCTCAGATGCATCTGTCGAATTTGTATGTGTCGATACTCGAATTGAACATTTTATTGGATAATCAATATAAGTATCTTAAACGTGTACAGAACTGGTTCTATTAAGATTTAATATATATATATATACATATAAAGTCAATTACTTTGGTTATAAATACCGTTTATGCTAATACCCGTAACATGATTGGCTAATATTATGTAGCCATACTTGTTGCCGATTAAATCTTGGATAAACGTGTAATGTAAGGAGTTACGGGTTGTGATTCTGTGAGATAACGCGAGAAGTAGCAAAAGGAAGATGATCTGTTCGATGAACTGTCAACCGACCCACGTGTTCGGTCGAGCCTGACGGAGATAATTTCTAGGATTCTGAGAACGAAGATGATTTTCAAAGTTCATTTATGACATACTGTAACGGCGAGAGGATTTGGAAAAATTTTTAAAAATTGAATTTGGGTTTTTTTTCACCTATAGAATCAGCCGTTTTTACGAATCTACTCGAGGGAATTTTTTCTGGAACGTGATCACATATCCAACGTCACACATGATCCTTGGACGGTAACGAGCGTGCGTGGGACTTGGACATTGGTTCAGGATGTTCCGGGTACTTGGAACGATAAGAAAACACCCACAAAGTCTTTGGAAGGGGTATACATGTGGTTCGAGTTATGAAGTCATTGAAGGTGGATGTGTGAATTTTTTTATTTTTTTGATAACGTATGCTCTCTTTTGATAAGGGATATAGGGTGAAGGTATATAGGAGAAATCGAAACCTTTATTAGTCTAGAGCTGGGTAAAGGTGGCTCTGTGATAGATGCGAACGAAGAACGGCGACATGGGTGGGCTCCCACGTGACGTGACGTACTAGCCACCCTGAAGACATTGGTTCAATGAGATATCGGTATGGATATATCGATGATAAAGAAAATTGTTTTTGAAAAATTTTGGACTTTTCATTTTGGATGACTGTTGATATTTTAGGTATCTTAGGGAGTTCAGAAAGGGTGATTGAGGGAGAGGTTGAAGCGTGGGGCTGGTGAGTCTTGTTTCGAAGGGGAAGATTTCTGATAAGGGTATTTTGCTGGATTTTTATTGGCTGATTGAAATTCCCAAAATGGGCCTTATTTTGGATACAGAGAGCTTTCGTGAAATTATAATGATCAGAAGAGAGTGCAGGTTAAGTACACGTGTTAGCAACTACTTAAGAGAAGAACCGATTAGGGCCCTAAGGCCCTGGCGTCGAAGGGTCTGGGACCACTCGGTATAACAGAGTAGGTATCACCTTCTATTCCCGGAATGATCTTAGAAGAAGTCTGGTCCTATTCACCGTGCGTTCTTTTTTGGGTAGAATAAGGTAAAGGGGTCTGTGTCCTTTTATTAGGGCCCGCTCGCGGGGCCCTATCCGATCATTATTCACCTACGTGGAATTCGGTCAACCGGATTCACGCAACAGGGATATTTTTCAGTTTTCTCCAGTTGGTAGTACCGATACTAAGTTGTAACTAGAAACAGGATCGGGTATTCTGAATAAGGCCCAAAAAAAGGTCCATTTTATATTATACCGGAAGTATAGTCACCCCAGTAATAAATCCGTGGAATCCTTTCCTGTCGTTCATCCAATCGAGTACCCTAGGGACAGTGTCTATTGAGCCCTATGACCCAAAGAAATAGTTTGGGAATCATGACAGGCCCCGACATGGTCAGTTAAACAATCAGTCGTTCGATTAAATTTAGTGTGTCCAAGGGTATTTTCTTGGTGGGTGGTGTAGGCAGAGGCCACCCGTAAACCAGGTGGCAGGAAAGAATATGTGAACATAGTTACAGCATACTGGGCCTTACCAGGCCCCTGATTTTGTCACATCATTATCGTAACGTATCGTCAGCCTACGTCGGGTCCGATGACACTCAACGTGAGATTCTAATGGTCACCATATCATTAAGAAGTCGCTGTTCGATCAGTGTTATGGTACCTTCTACATGTAACGGTCCCAATAATTCTCGACTCCTTTGGGACTTACGATAGGAGAACATGTTTAAAGAACCTCAAGCAACGTTATACGGCTAAAAAGAAAGTTAAAGAAAAATTATTACCCTTATTTATAACTATGTCTCTCTATAAGGCCCATATTATAGGCATCATGAGCATTCGGGGACTAGTGCATGCATTCACCGTACACACTTACCATATACCTTATAACGTTCCTACGAATAAATAGAAAAAAGATTTTTATCGCTGCCTCTTCATAATACCAATTCTCCAATAGGTGTAAAGTACAGTTGGTTTTTATTGCTTGTCCATACTTATTATTTTCTCTTCATGCCCATTATTATGGGCCCATTAGTTAGACACGAGAAGCTCCTATTCAACTACGAAGATCTACCATCTCTTCACGATGCATCTTGAAATCGAGAAAATGGAATCTGAAAAATGTTAAAAAATAATTTTTAACTTCAAGTCTGAAGTCTATTCTACGTGTAACAAAAATAGAAATCCAGTCTTCATCGACTCAGGGAATATTAAAGAGAAAAAAGAGCAAAAAAGAAAAGTAAGATCCAACGTATGGGTGGGTCGTCGCTTTAATTAGTTCGAACCGGCGTATCGAGCAGCGACAATCGATAGAATTAATTATGTCGCAGATAAGCCACCCCCTTCGTGCACTGCTACCCCTGCCCACTTTTTTCTCATCTATTTTTAAATACCTCGATTTCTCTTTTTCTTTCTTGTGCTTCCTTCTCCTTTGCTTCTTTCATTTTACTTTTACAAGCCCAACGCGCTCCTCGTATTCGGCTCTGGACCGAATACCAAAATAGCCCATAGGATTTGCATTCGCCATGAATCCAAGAGTCAAGATTATGTAAAGGATAGCAAATACAAAGAGTAACGACATAACCAACGATATTCTTCATTAGCTTATACACTGTATTGACTAATTAGAATTTTGACCCCTTAAACCCATCGCGATTAGTAGTAATATTTTCTTCTATTTTCCCCCTGTACCCGTATCAACTTTTTGTATAAGAAAAAAATTGTTCACCCAAAAATGACTATTATTGTATAATATATCATTCTTCTGGTCCATGAAGTCATTTCCAAAATCCAATATGGTCTGTCATCTCATCTGGGTACACATCAAGGGTATATATTATCTATTAAAAAAAAAGAGGAATTTTTATCTGATAATACAAGGCCCAAGCTTGAGAACCACTGGGCCGTTTACAATTAAGCAATGTAACTGAGTCGGAGACGCGTGGTGCATCGTGTGTGGTCCAGGGTTCGAATCCTACCTCTTTCCTCGGAGGCTGTGACTCCCTCTCCATTACATATCCCCACTGCCATAACCCTTCCCCTACTACAGGCTTCTTTACTCCGTTATGCTTTGCTCTTTCATTTGGACAGAGTGACTCATCCAGCTTCGGATGGATACCATCCCTATGGGAATTCCTCCTAGAGATTGGTGATGCTGGAACTGATCTTAATATGCCTATATATATATGTATATATTAATAAAGTTTAGATTAAAACTGCCACCGGATCAGAAAGACAGGTGCGTCTATTCCCAGGATGCTGAATTTAGTTCTTGTTTCACCATAGACAAACACGTGGATGGAAAATCCAATGGAGAGCTGAAGATGGATAAAGATGCTTGTCAAGAAATAACCCATGTGTGTGTTTAGAGCGACCAACCTGTCCTGAGGCGCGGAACCGTAAAAAACGACATGACACCAAGAAACTAAATACGAAAATCCCATACGAAAAGCCTGTCACATATCGTACCGTGTTAACTTTCGTAATTCTCTCATTTGGCATCACTGATTACAGTTCCCTCTGGATGAATCCATTGGGAACTATTGAATTACGATTTTTGACAAGATCAATTTTAAGGTTATTTTTTGTAAATCTATTGACTAAACTATATGGACAATGACGAATTGCGTCACGCTTTTGTGATCGAATCAAGAGACTCCCGAGACATCGGTGATCTTGAGGTCACGTTTCGTGAGTATTGAGGATAAAAAAAAGGCCATCAAGGTATTTCCTGTACCGTATATAATGTCCGTATGAAAATAGACGTTTTGTTGAAATTCCCACGAAAAATGATTGATCTCTGTAAAAAAATGTAAATGACTGTTATCGAAGTAGAAAATAATGAATAGAAATAAGGAATAAAGAAAATACTACCTTGGATAATTTATTGGTCAATCAAGATGACGCATGGTGGTATAAGGTGACACGTCAGCGTTCGGTACTGATCATTAATTTTAATACCCGTCAGCATCAGATCTTCCAACGGGTTAGCCAGGTTTCCACTTCCATCCTCGTACCTTCTTCTTCTTCCCTTCGTCTCGTATAATCTTCGTACACCCTATAGACATTGCCATTAGCTACCGTAAAAGATCCATTCTCTCAACTGTCAATATCGTCGTCCAGGATCTCTGATCTCTTTAACGCTACCCGACGCAGGTTCGCGTGAGCTAACCTAAATCTAACCTAACATTCGTAGCAAGTATCCGTGGGATACGTAACGCAGTCAAAGGATTCGATGATTCATCCAATGTCAGTGTGGGGATGTTAAATGGACATGTATAATTCTTATGGGCCTTATACATTTCCTTCGTTCCTTACCATATATTATATGGGGCCTGCCTATGGTATACACTTACTGGAATGACGTACCTGGTCGAAGCAAGGAATGCCGAAGATGTCGGTGCTCGGCCAATCATTTGTAAAGATTCTTGGACAAAGAGTAATAATCGCTGTTATGGATCTCGCGAGGGTTTGACCCCTTGAGGCTTCACTGACAGACAGAAGCGCGAGTCTGTCAAGTCCGCGATCGTAATCTGACAGGGACGTATTGGACGGTCATGGCAGGGACCTACATAACCGACTGTACTACTCGCACGATTATTAGTCACTGACTCTTAGGGTTATGCAGAAGGTTTGTTATTTTTTGCTAGATTTCTTTTTCTTTCTCTTTGTTTTTATCTCTTTTCCTTATCGTCAAATAGGGGAACGACATTTTTTGGGACTTGGGTGAAATATTGGGGTTTGCTGAAAAATTTTTTTTATCTATGACTGACTGCTCCTCGTTTTACGGGGCCTTGTCGATCGTCGCGTTGCTTCTTACTTACGAGGGAACGATAACAGGAAAAATGAGGGACTCCGTGCCGTTGTGGGAGTACGTGAACCCTCGTTCGTTGACACGGCCCTTAAGTGAGACATATTGCTGCTTCTGAGGCCTCAATTTGGGCCTTATTTATGGTACAATAGGAAAGCGACTCGGTGAGAATATTAGGATTTTATTTAAGTTCAATTGAGTTTATATATATTTAGGTTAAATAAACAATTATTTTGGAACTTTAAATTGGGACTTACTCTCTTCCGTTCTTTTTGGTCTTTACGAAAGACGGGTAGTCCAGTGACTAACCGTTGATGTAACCTCTCTACACGGAGACATATTACTCTTCCAAGTTGGGCCTTATCGATATCTGATCGCTACCGAGGTCAGACGCCATTTGTTTTTCAGAGACCCAGGGAAACGGAAGCCACTCTCGTGCCTACGGCAAGACTGAACGACCAGTCAACCGACCCCGAGGTGGCCGGCGTCGTTTTTCCTTTTTTTTTTATCGACGTTTGAACGATCGTCGTCCCCGTCGGGCGTTCCTTGTATTTTAATGCCAGCTATTACTTAGGAAGTCGCGCTGACAGCTCGTACCCACCAGTGGCGACCCTTCGATTGTCAAGTCCCCACACATCTGTACAGGCCTTGAAAGGGAGCGTCCCGACGTCATGGATCCTCGTAAAATTCCAAATAAATTTTTGCTTTTTTTCCTCCAAATTATAAAAAAAAAAATTCTACTGCAGTATACTAATTTTAAAAAATTTCTCCTTCATCCCCACCAGGATTTGCAGATCACGATGACTCTGGCATAGTGACGTAGGCGTGGCTCTGGGGTTGATATCAGCGATGGCCACCTTCACGCTGTAAATCAATTGATATCTCGCCCTCTCCCGAGAAGGAGGGTGCTTTATATGGGGGTTGCACGGGGTTCGAGAACAACCGGGATAAGCATGCGCCAAATGCTGTATGCGGATCGACCCGCCCCGACGCTTTTATCTGATCGTCTCGACGCTCCCAGGGCTCTATTCGCACCCCTATAGGGTGCAATACACATACAGTTTCCTATATACATGGTTACCAAGAAATCACGTAATTTTACGCTACGCTCCCCATGCACAGTGAATAATATTTTTATTTCTCCTCTACTCAACAATTCAACAGGTGGTTAATAGACTTTACTTTTTCCTCAAGATTCAACCCTTGCCGCACGTAAGATTGACAATTGGGAATTTTATGGATTCTTCTAGAAGGATTCGTTGGTACGAATAATAATAATAATTCTATAACTTGATACTTGGTAATATTTAATTCAATTTTAAATAATCTTACACGCTTACGAGTCTTCGAGTGTCTTGTGTATTCCGTGTACTGAGTATAAGTGTTCGTACTATGTATAATGGTAAATAAATAACTAAGTTACTTTAAACAGTCTATAGGCGATGTTTACCACTGGGTAGAATTCTAGATTAATATGTACAGATCGTTTTCCGTTATAACATGCTGACTCTATTTACCTCCTATATTTATAAGGTTTTATTGCACGTCGCAATCACGCCTGTCGCTCGCAATGTATTTTACATTTTTTACAATAAATTATTCAGGCCACGTGACTGTTGGGTTCATAAGCGACGGGCGACCATCTTCATCCCACAGTGGGTATAAACAAGCGTACAGGTACGCAGGAAGAGTAGCCGCCGCCATTATCGGAGAGAATCGCGGTTTACAAAATGGCACCTAAGCATCAGCAAGTACATTATAAAACCTCGAGGAACGATCGCAAGTTGACTTTAACGGATAGAAAATTTGCCTCGGTTTAAATAAATGACAGTCGATCGCTGCGTTCAAATGATAATGACTATATGATTCGAGTCGATTTAAAAGTACAGACTACAATTCAGGTTCGATGACGGACGAACACATCGCCATCTTTGAATTATTCTACAGTCGTCATTTGGCCTGGAGCTCGGCGGCCTGCTCCTCTTCTTCCTTGGTCAACGGAACCGTCGAGTGATTGTAAAGGCCCTGCGCCATCAGCTGAAGTGCCAATGGATTCTTCTGTCCGCTTGCTTTCTTGATCTTGGCTCTCTTGTTCTGAAACCAGATCTTGATCTGCGCCTCGTTCAATCCGAGATCGCGTGACAGTTGCTGCCTCCTCCTCTCGGTCAAGTAACGATTCTCGGCAAATTCACGCTTCAGTCTTGCCAGCTGCTCGCCGCTGAACGCCGTCCTGGGCCGTTTCTCCTCGGGAGTTGCGCCAGAAGTGCGACCGTCGTTTGACCTCTTGACCCTTCTCGTTCGAGGACCTGAAAGCACACGGGAAGATTCTACGGTTAGCTAGTATCTGCCAAACTAGCTGCCAGAATGACAGGAGAGACCTGGGTAAAGTTCATAAAAAGAAAGATTGCTGCCACTGAGCGCAAATTCAAATTTAGATAAAACCAAAAATATCGAATAAAGTTAAAAGAAACAAAAAAATTAGCATCAGAGCTCTCAACTAAACCGACCAAAGATTCATGTCCACCTTTTCTGTTTTACTAGTTTAACAAAAAAAAATAATCTCATCTCTCCCCACATCACGTATACCTATACTGCGTCTCTATATAATGTACCGAGAGTAAATCCTCTTTCCCTTGAAACATCCCTGGTTTATCGAGCGATTTCTCAGCCACCCCGTGGCATAGGATACCGAGGTTAGCCAAGGCAGGCACCACTTATGGGCGGCAGCACTGACATCCCTTTATCGTAAATCAAACACATTATTATTGCCAATCCGTAGTTCTATACGTACCGCGTTACTATCTACGTACATACGTCCGTATACCAGAGAATCCTATACATGCGATAACACAAGTTCACATGGCAGTAACGTTTAAACCGAACGCAGCTGCAATGGCGCGTTTGACCGTTTGAAAAATCCCGGCGTGCACCGGTGTCCAATAATAATTCACATAGCGACCGCGGCGGCGCTGCAGTCGGCGAACCGAGGAAAAATACAGAAGAGCACGGACTTTCCTTGTAATTGCGAATAAATCAAATACGTAACGATCTGACGGGAGTCCATATCGTAACGCGATGATCTTAAAGTGGATATAGAGAGTGAGTGACTACAGTGGGAGTGAGTGAAGTTGGCCTATAAATACATACGTATACTACACGATAAACTTGAAAAGGCATAACCTCGCGTACCTAACCGTTCTCGACGTGCGGCGTCGTTATGAAATATTTAAAAATATCGAATCAATACGAAGTCTTGGCTTGTTATCGAACCTACCGTGTTACTATTCACCCTCCTGAGAGCCCTCGACTACGAAACTACCCCTTCCTGGTTAGGAATCAGTCTAATTACTTAGCGAAACAGTCTTCTGCCTCGAGCCTTGGTAACTCGGAACAGTCTCGACAGTCTTGAACCCTCGAGGGAACGACGGAAGTCTTCGGGGAGAAACCAATAATGCTAAGACGTCTTCTCGCGCCAGTGAACATGGCTACCAACCTAACAAACCCACCAGCCCTGGATCCGCATACCGACGTGTGGCCGACGAACCACTAATTCTCATCCTGACTGAGTTAGACGTTAACACTTGCTCTAACGAATTGCCTATCCTTCTTGAAAGCGTTAAGGTATGAGACAGAGAGAGAGAGACAGAGGGATAGCGGGAGAGAACATCCCCCGGTATGTATTTCTCTTTCTTAATTACTCTCCGCAACCCTCTGTGTATTCCTATTAAGAGTTGGCATTGGTATGAGGTCGTCTCTGCTTCTTTTTCTTTCTTCCTTTGCTCAGTCCATATATTGTATGTATATATATATATATATGACATGGATACCTAATGGCATAGGCCAATGATAAATATACGTAGATCGTGATACGATTTTCTTTGATGTTAGCTACTAGTACCGATACTAGTTTGTCTTGTTGTCTGCTATGGTGACTGTTAGTTGCTGCTTTTACTCTATCTGACTTATGAGCGTAACCATTCCATGGATAAACGAGGCTAAAGACTGTCGACACTGTTGGACGTCCTTAACTTTTCTTCTTTGAGTATTTATACAGACCTATAGATATACAGATGTACAAACAGACCTTCCGATAGACTCACAAAGGATTACCACCTTGGGCTTTGATTCCATTCCGATTAGGTATACAAGATTTTTCAAAGTGACGTCATGCTAAGTTAATACAATTTCCGACCGATTAAACGCCAGTGATAAGTATTAATCGTAATTAAGATAGTGGTATGAATCGATGGCATTGAAAGATTCTCCGAGAAAGTGTGCAACGGAGAAAGATGTATATAATTTTACAGTGTATAATAAATAAATAAATAAATTTAAATGAAATGAAATTATTAATAATATAAAATTAAGATTAATTAAGATTTAATTTTTGGATCGTTAAACTCTCACGTTGATGGATGCCATTTTTGCTCTCTAGTTTCTCGTATTCAGTATCGTTCCTGTACCTGATGACTGTTACTTACTTCGTCCTGAGAACAAAAAGAAAAACAGACAAGGATTAAAATCATATCCAGGAGATCATTATGACAATTAAATCAACATCGACAAGCGTAATTGTATATAATTTTAAAAGAAATGAAAAAAAAAAGAAAAGAATTCTGTATACATATATAATAAAGTATCCAGCAAGTTACACGCATGTCTCTCACAGTACTACCAACTGCACGGTTGGTTACGCCACGCGTGGTAACACAAGAAACACAAAGAGAGGAGAAAATGAGGAATTTTGGGACTAATGGCTTTATTGGCCCGACTGAGTCCCATAATAATCCAGTTCTTATATAAAAGGAGCACTGGCTTCTTATTATTCTTTTTCTTTTCCGGTCCTCTATTCCTCTCTCTCTCTCTCTCTCTCTCTCTCTCTCTCTCTCACATACATTGCCGCTTAGTATGTACCACGATCAAATGCGTATCAGCCTTGATGCCGTTTAAGAGAGTTTCGAGACAAGTATCCTTGCTAATTACGTTCTCCAGTGGCGGAAAGAAAAAAAAAGCCAAGTCAGCCCTTATGGAGTTGGGCATCGTTCCGAGACGCGAGAAGCAAAAATTCGAATACATTGGAAATTCAGCGAGTTCAGCTCGAAGCCAGTTTGCCTGTAGGATGAAAGCGAACGAGTGCAGCCAGCCAGCAGGACTTGATCATCGGGGACAAGAGAGAACCTAACCTAACTGGATGGTTTATTCAATCGATTTCGTTACAAAGCTTCGATTCCTCGAAGAGTTCGAATCTCGCTTATAATCGATTATCGATTACGGAGGCGATTCGCTTGACGGAGGATAAACTGTGGGCGAATTAATTAATTAATTGGAAAAGCGTAATTAAGTGGACATTCTGTATGTTAATGGAAAAATTATAAAGGGGGGTAATGAGGGGCGATAATTAAATAGTATTAATTGACACGACGTCATTACTATTATTTCTATTAAATCGGTAATTACAGTCAACGTAATTTCTGTCGATTAAAATATTACCGATCGACATGCCGATCGTCGATCGAATTTTAATTAATACGGTGCTTATTAATTAAGTTACAATAAGTTGAATTTTATTATGTAACCCGATAGACACGTGGTATTGGATCGCTTATAGTTCCCACGATCTTTATTGAAAATGATCCATATGATCGAGCGATCCGTCGATCGCCCCGAGTGTGTAATAATTAACGCGATCGTTAGCTAAGGCCTCCCTTTTCATCTCGTTAAACACATCCTAATCGCTACGGAGTGGCTGGGACTGAGATTGTAATTTGAGCCATAAAGCGTTCGCGTGGGATTAAAAAAAAAAAAAAAAAAAAATAGAAGATATCTATAGTAAATTGTAAATCGCCATTTTCATCGATTGTAAAATCGTTACGAATTTTTTTTTATTATTCTCATAAATACGTAATAATATAAATCAGGGGTACCAATCGACCCATCCATTACCGTTGTACCGTCTAATGGGATAGGATAAAATGAAAAAAGTACACTCGAGGTAACCACTTTGCGTTTCAGCACAGTCATTCAAAAATTCCCGCCAAATTACGAATGATTAGTCACGTTTCTCACCCCTCGAGCAAAATTGCCATAAGTAACTTAGCTTATGAACGAGTCCCCGTTAAATAGCTCAAGTAAAATATAATCGTGGGACAGTCCGAGTAATAAAATCCCAACTAAGGGAAAGGATTGAAATTATAAAAAAAAAAAAAAAATATTAAAGAATTTACCAAAAAAAAAAAATACTCGGTCATTTTCATACCATACCTTCGATCACTCGAGGACTTACTGTCCGACTGTGATCTAGATCTGATTATCTGCTTTCAAGGATTCTCCAGAGTCCGTCAAGTTACGTCAGTGCCACGGAGTCTCGTGATTCTCGTAGCCGCGCGAGACACTCGTTTCTCCTCCTTTATTTATAATACAATTCGGCGCTTCGTATTCTAGCCGCATGTGCGACGATGAGACTCGAAAGTCCTAAGCCGAGGTGGAGTTACTTCGAGTTCGAAGAACGCGGCTCGCAAGGAACGGGAAAGTCTGTGTGGAACGAGGTGGAAGAGACAGACCGAAGTAAGATGGCGATGGAGGGAGAGAGAGAGAGAGAGAGCGAACGAGCGGGAGAATAGAAGAGAAGATAACCGCGGGGTCGGGACTTGGGTGGTTGAAATTAATGTTGCCCGCTTAATTGGAGCCACCGAGTAGTGTGTGTGTGGCCAAAGCGGTGCTCAACTTCTCAATAAAGATATGACAGCTGTCGTAAGATCCTGAGCGCGTTGCCACGCGACGGCGCGTCCGACGTTAAGTTTTCGGCGGCGACTGCGCATGCGCACCGCCGTACCGTCTGAAGCGAGCCGCGCATAAGTTACGAGCGGAATAATATTCTTGGTAGAAAATCAATCGTAGCCAACGTTTGACTTACTTAGAATATATATTCCTTGCGATGGTGGAAGACATCTTGAATTATCTCACGTGACGTCACTCGTAACGATGTATATAGATATACAGCGTGCCCAGGGGTATTACACGTAAATATTGTATCGAATGAAGTTGGTCATGTAAATTTCAACTTCACTCGATACAACGATCTTGAACGAATGTACGACTATGAATTATTTAAGGGCGACAGTTGGACCCGAGAAAATTCAAAACCACCCTTAGTCCCTCTCTCTGTGTGGATTGGGTAATGTCCCTTGGAGGGTGGCCGCCCCTTACTTACTCCTTACGTAACTCTGGCACGCGAGCAAAATCTAATGTGTTAATGTAACGTATGGAGGAGGAGGAAGAGGGGGGGGGTCTAAATCGTACAAGGGTGGTTCCATATGGATACGTGGCAATGTGCCATTCACTAAATAAAATCCACCCTTAGTACGAGAGTCATGATTAAATCAGTCAATTACTCTGGATTCGATCCGTGTGACTTTATTTCCTCGAAATCGTCACGTGTCATCTTACTTATTACCTAATTTCACTTATTTCGTTTCAGCAGTTCGGTACAGTCACGACAACAAAGTTGGTGGTCCATGATCTTCTGAATTGGTCCGATATTAAGTCCGTCACGCAGCGTCAAAAAGAAAAACACGCTCGAGAAAGAAAGTATAGCGTCACGAACAGCGCGTAAAACGTTGTCGATCAAAGATTTTTGGTCCAGATCTTGGATGCTGGGGACGATGCTGAGTAAGATTAAAAAAATATTTTTCACTTTAACTTCTTTTCATTTTTTTTACTTTTTTTTTTCATTTTTATTTATCTCCATTGTTATTGGCTCTGTCTCCGCAGCCTCCCAGAAGACGTCTCGACGCTGGGTGTGTTGCCGGCAACACGGGTGGGCTCTTCTTTCTCGGCCGGCAAAACTGTGTAGGCGTTGCAAGACATGCAAATTACCCGCACCAGATTCGGCGATACATCTTAATTTCTTGGCTGGACCAAAATACGCGACACCGCGCCGCGTCCGGGCATTGTGCCGAATCACGTGGTTATACGAGATGCGCAGCATCACACTTCTCGGAAGCACCTTGACGAAAGATTGATAGGACGAGGAACGACCTGGTGCATGATCTTCGAGGAAACTGCGCGCTAAGTGGTCCAGCGCAAGGAGAAGATGGCTGGTGTATATTGAATTTGAAATTATAGCAATTATGATAGACATGCATGTATACGCACACGCGTGATCCTATGCAGTCATACGAGTTAATATTTTTATCTTTTTCGAAAATTCTAAACCTAACTGTTCCTGGGAACGGGCCAGTGTCTTGGTCGTTCGTGAGGATAAGTAATGGCTTCCTGGTGAAAATTAAGCTATTAATTACAGATTGTCCCTGAGGCTAGAATTTTATATGTGTAAAAAAAATTTCTTATGACCCAAGTAATATTATCATTTTTTTGTTTTTCGCTTTTTAATCAGATGCATATTAAGTATACGGATGCGAAAGATTATACGAAAATTGTAACGCAATGTTCATCCTTTACCTTGACTTCTACATCATTTATAATTGGGTTATTTATTATTGTTTCAGTTCTCATGAATATAGTTCCTATGAATACTTTTTTTTTTATGTGTATATATATATGGGTAACAGGTCTCTCTCAGATGTCGCGTCACCATACAAAAATATCTAAGCGAAATGATTCCACTCGGTGGTCTTGAGATTAAGTTTAATTGGGGGTCGAGTTAAATAGAGATTTATGAAGTAAATTCATTGTTTCGTTGCTTCGTGGACCACCGTGACATTAATGCCGAATTACTTTGGGCTCCTTATGTATTTTACTTCGCGATACAGCCTTAATGGCAGTCCTTCTATAATATCGACGAAGCAACGACGCGAGCGACAGTGAAGCCACTGTGGGATATAATTGTATTGCGACAGATGAATTGATCGAAAAAATTAATTTTTCAGCGTCATGCCTTGAAGAAGATAAATAATTTCATAGAAAACATTTTTTTTTAATTTCTCCATACGCGGTATGGATTTTCCATGTAAATTGGCCTTTAGGCATTTTTAATCATTTTGATTCATATACGAGCCGTCCGGTACCGGCATGAAGGATCCATGGCTTCCGTTCACCGATATCCGTTTTAGGGCGTGTTTCCATGTGCCGCAACGTTATCGGAGTCGGATCTCGATATTCGTAGCTTCGCTTAATTAAAGGCCGCCTTGGGGAACGTACGGCTGCCGCGGTCAGGAAATCGCTTAATTTCGCGTCAGCCGATCCATTGCCCGAACCCCCTTCTGAAATTCATTCACGATCTCAGTACTGTAAATCAACCCTATGTTATCGTTAACGAGTCCCGTCGGCCACGTGTTACAGTTTGACAGTAAGTGACACAGTGACATTTGACATATACACGCCGGTCAAACATACAATTTTCAAGCAGTGAAACCGAGTATATAATAGGTCAAAATAAATCGTACGTTTTTCGAAAATTCGTCAAAGCATAATTTTCGTAAAATTATTACCCGCATTCTCCATAAGTATCCATTGGACGTCGCGCAAC